ATCAGATCACTAAGCTATTTCCATATGGCATCCAAAGTATGTTTTTAAGCTTCATAGCTAGGAATAATATTCTAGCGAACATTTCCAAAGGACGATACTCTTGTAAATTCGCTACTGCTATTTCATCTCCTTTGCTTCTTAAGGGCTAAGAAAGAGATTAATATTACTCCAGCATTTGCATTTACAATAACTGTACTGTATGGTAAAATGAATCTAAGATAGGATCCACAGATAGATGAATTTCAGATACAGGTTTACAACTACGAAGTTTGCAAATTTGACTGTCACTTTGCAGTCAGAGTCAGTTTACCTGGAAAACAGGGTACAGTAAAATACTTTCCATGTTATTTTAATTTGTATGAATATATAAATTGCCCTCAATAACATTTTAAATTAATGTTGTGCCCTTCAGAGTTTCCTTCATATCACAACTTGCTGGATGGTGCTTTGGTCTCCTAATATAGCTTTTCTTAATTGGAGTTCCTCGAGATGTCTCGGCTTCAGTTGTCAGAATTCCCTAGCTTGCATAGGCAGTGGTGAGAAATTCTGGGAAGAGAGACCGCTGGCATATCTATTACACCTTTACTTGCTGAATAGACAAGGTTTTCATTTTCAGAAAAGAATGAATGAAAGAAAAATTCCTCATGAAAGGATTTCCACCACATGACTATTTCACTAACAAATCCAAATTTTCAGACTGACTGTAAACAGTCTATAGATGGTCCACAATCAGCTGACTTTGAGAGCTTACAGGGGTGTGTTCAGTATTGGCAAAAGTAGATTTCTCTTGGCTCTTTCCTTATAATCAAACATTGTATAGAGCCTTAGTCTCCATTATACAAAGTACCATCACCAAAATGTCAATTATCAGTCTGGAATGCAGTCTGATTTTGGAGAATGCTTAAGACAACTTTCCAGCTGAGATTCATAATGAATATTAAAAAAAGGTGAGGAGACTTCAGAGATCTAATCTGATCTTCCATCCTATGACCTCAGGGTTCACAAATTGGAGTACTGTATCTATTTTGTCCTTGACATTTAGGGCACATACATACCCAAAAGAGAGTATCTTATCTGAACACATGGCCAAACTAAGAATTCATTTGCAGTAATGGAACAAATGGAACCTTTGCTCCTGGTTCCCCACCTTACCTTTTTCATTTCAGTAATGTACTTTCAGGAGAAATCTTTGGACAAATGGGAGTAAGAAACCTTTGTGTTGATAAACTGCAAATTATTCAGGGATCTTCCATCTGGGCCTGGTGTCAAATGTATGCCTTAGATGATGTGACCGTGAAGTTTGAATATGCTCCATCTGTTGATTGTTAATTACAGTACTGTACACATTAAGTTTTATGGATAGCTTTAATTGGGCTAATTGGGAATGAGTAAGAAGAGGGAAGGAAGCAATTGTCAAGGGTAACAAGGGGAGTGTACCACTCGTTATATGTACTTCAGCTTCATTTGAAATGAGGAGCAAGACCTCTAGCCAAAAAGTTCACAAAAATATGATTTTTGAGATAGTATTGACAGCTGGAAATATTCTGGGAAAAATTTACAAAATGAGGCTTAGAAAGAGGTGTAAGGAAAACTGAATTTTATACTGGTGCTTTAGCTGTGCTATTACACTCTCTGTGTCCCCCTAGCTAATGCTTAAAACAGTCTTCTTCAATCTAGCATCATTTAGATTCTAATTCCTTGCAACTCAGTGGTTGTGCTGACTGGCCTGGTGGGAAGTAGAGTTCAGCACATCTAAAAGGTGCCAATTTGGTGAAAGCTGTTTTAAGAATTTTCTCTTTCATACATCATTTATATGGATTTGATCTATTGGTGGAATCCAGTTCACAGCAGGTTAGGAGTTACAGCATGTTCCCACAGTAGTTTTACAGAGCTGCAGACTCAGCATTGTAATACCACAAAAAGGAATGATAGAAGTATCATCAGGATCTCTCTGAAGTTGGGCAGGTTACAACACTTTAATTTGAATAAGGTGTGTTACGTTCTTCTGGAAAATACATTTATAATTAATGGTTGATTTCAACAGTGTAATTGGTATTCTCTCTCTCACTTTTGCTCTTTCAGTCAAAATGGAACTGCTACAGTATCCCGCCGTCAGAACACCATTCAGGACCTTCTGCAAAATTGCTCAGATTGCCTCATGCGTGCCGAACTCATAGTGCAACCTGTAAGTTGGAAGATGGCGTTGCTTCACTACTTTGAATAAATGAACAATGGCACATATTGCAGAAAGCAAATCGGCGTGTTAAAAAGAATGTATAAAGTGGTAGAACACCGGCTTTATATGGAAGGAGTTTAGGGTTCATTTTCCAATAGAGAGAAAAAAGGTAAAGATACCAGGAGTCAAGCTGGTGATTGCATCCATGTTATTTCTTTGGAAACATTATGAAAGTGGCTCGCTGTTGCTTTCTTCCATCTTCTGAGTCAGCCCCCATCCAAGTACTAGTAAGATCTTTCCCTGCTTATTTCTGGTTTAAAATGGATCAGGAACAATATCCATTTGGGAGGTACCTTGGAATGTTATTGCCAGTCAAACGGACCACAAATAGAGAAATAGGCCAGGTTCATATATTGGTTGTGTGTCGTGCCTGTGTACCATCTATTACTGAATAAAAATGAGTTGGGTAGCTTCACATAACACACAAAATGATAACACTTGTATTACTTGGCACAATGTGTGAACTCAGTCACAAATTGATCTATCAGGCTGCTTCCTACATTAAATGTCAATGTTAATTTTTTATTCCATATACAGGTATTTATTTTTTGCTAGTTGCTCTTAAGATAGAAGAGTAATTTTATTCAAAACCTGTTTATTCCCATAGATGTGCGCCATCTATATAAATGTAGGATGTGGTTTCTTTTTGAGATCTGCTTCATTGTATGCAGCACCCCTTTTGGTGTCCCATTTTCTCTTTTTTTTGTCCCCTGGCTTCATTGTTCTGACAATCTACATCTTCAAGAGACTGCTTAGAGAAAGAGAATCAAGAAAAAAATCTCTAAAAAAGCTAAATATGGTCTGGTTGTCCAGTGGAAAAGGCAGTCTTGGAGTTAATGAGATGATCTGGACGAGACCAAAATCCTATCAAGACTAGTGTTAGGATGTCACAGTGGCCTGCCAGATCCCTATGGGAAACAGAACATAAGTGCAGTAATACCTACCCATTCTTGCATTCCAAAAACCAGATACAAAATGCACATGATACTGGGGGGAATGTATGGCCATCATGGCTAATTCACTTTCATTGAGATATCCTGGTTTCTAGTATTATGGATTTCCCTATGTACTTCCATTCCTGATTTATGTCTCAGTCTCCCCTTTATTTTATTTTATTTTATTTTATTTTATTTTATTATTTTATTTTATTTTATTAAATTTATATGCTGCCCATCTCCCCCAGAGGGTAACTCTGGGCGGCTTACAATTAAAAACCAAGACAATAACAATGAAAATATAAATATCCCCCGATTAAAACACAAATAACAAATCTATAAAAGCAATATACAAATCAAGAAGATGGGGGAAGCAGTATCAATCATCCCACAAGCCAGTTCCAACAATGCAAGCCCCATCAGGCGCCCAGGCCATCCAGCATAGCCATGTTTTTACACCTTTTCAGAAGGCCAGGAAAGCGGGGGCTTCACTTCATCTAAAATGCTCCAAATGTAAGCTTTTCTCACAGGAGAAAACTCTGATCATTTGGTAGCCTTTTTCACCTTTTCCAGCTCTACAATTTTGTACAAAAACATTATTATATTTGCAGTCTCCTACTGTATTTACTACTGATTCACAACATAGAAATTTTCATGTTAGCCACATACTGGCTTGACATTTTCATTCTATCCGCACAAACCCAAGATCACTTTCCTAATTAGTTGGTGCTAGCTTTGAGCCCATCTGTATATTTGTGAAGTTAATATTGGAGCAATGTTTGTTACTGTACGGTGTTCTACCCTCAATTGGTTTCAGTACCTTCAAATAACCAGTGCAGCAGTAAAAGAATTGCAGAAACAAGTATCGATAAGCTTGATTGAATTTGAAAAACTTACAACACAAACTACTGATTGATTGCTAGGCATGATTTATAAATTATTCATGAAGTATGTCTCAGAGTCTGAACAAGTTAAAGATTGTATAATTAAATGGATACAGAACATGAATACAGTTACAGAGATGCAATGGTGGGAATTTCAATTGAAAAAATGTTAAATTTACTTTGAATATTACACTTAGAATTGGTATAAGATGTTTTACCACTGGCAAATCATTCTAGTCTTGATTGCTGAAATGAATAATTCTTTTCCTTAAAAAAATATTGGAAAAGTAACAAGAAAGTTGGATCCTTCTTTCAGATGTGGTTGCAATGCTGCAAAGTCTGACATTGGAAACTGGTTCACTCTGGAATGGAACACATTTTGAAAGTTGCAATCCCTTTCCAAGCAGAGATATTTTTATTAAATTTTACCAAACCGTACACTGCTTCAAAACATACTGAAATAGCATTATAGATGTTAATGGATGCAAGGATTTTATTGGAAAAGACAGTTGATTCCTTCTTTGGAAGAATGGTTAATTAAACTCTGGGAGTGTGCCTCAGTGTCTAAGTAGCTTTGTTTTTTAAAAAGTAAATCTGATGCAGAATTCAATTGGAATTGAAAACTGTTCTTGGATTATAATCTTGTACGTGGAATTGTATTGCACCCAAAATTTGATTTCTAGAGTTCATATTTTAACTTGCCACATAATTTATTGTATTAGTGGAATCCATTACTGTATTACTTATACTTTCTCTTAATGATTTGAACAATGTTAACTAAGTGTTTTAGTTTAAAGGTCAACAGAAATATGTGGCTTTAGACTAGGAAATGCATATGAAGTACCTCATAATATTATAAGTTCCTAATGATGTATTAGAAGATATTAGTTTCATGACATTTCGGACTTGTTCTTTACCTATATTTTGGTATCTATGCCTGATTTTCTTTATTGTATTGCTTATTTCTCACATTCTTTTAAAATATATGATAAACAATTGAAAAGAAAAAAGAATGGGACAAAAATGTACATAGCCTTACGCTTGCTTGTACTGAATTGCATTTGCCATTTTGGAAAAAAACCCCATTTGGAGCCCTTTGTTATCTCTTAGTTTCTGATCTTAGCTGTATATTTTAGAAAATAGTCTATTGCATTTTGCACTACCTGCAATTTTCAAATGCTGTTCAAAGACAGACACATATAAAGGATGCCATAGAAATCTTAAGTTTTCAAATACTATACATGAATTTATTGTGTGTGTCTGTGTCTGTGTCTGTGTGTTAATATGGTGGTTTATGCTTTATTTTGTCTGTTTTAGGAACTAAAGTATGGAGATGGAATCCAGATTAGCAGGAACCGAGAGCTGGAGGATTGCTTTGCTCAGGCAAATGAACACATGGACATCCTTGATGGGCTGATCAGAGAAATGAGACAAATGGGTCAGCCATGTGAACTCTACCAGAAAAGGTATTGCCATTCTATTTGTACCTAAGTAGTGTATCTAGGGTACTGAAGTAGTAAGCTCTGTCAAGGACTGGCATGGTCCTCACATTGAATAAACAAGTAGAGACGTATAGATGATGTGAGTTATTCTAGGTTATGTACATTTAGAGTCATGTGATCCAGCCTTTATTTTGCTAGACGAACAGTAAATTATTGAGGTCTCATTTATGTGAACATCAGTACTTGAGTAAGACATGATGCAAAATCTTTCAGGAGTGTTATACATTTCATGAAGCTGTGCCTCAAATTCACTTCTAATATTGTATCTGTTTATTTCCACCTTCATAAAACTATAACAGGAGGCATAACCCATATGTAAAACCACTAGAAATATCAGTAAAATAAAAATAGGAAAATAATCAGTGACAGAGATAAACAAACTGTATTTCTTACAAGAGCCCTTAAGCATTCATAAATGTTGCTAGAACAGTTAAGTCTTAGCTAGGAATCAACATGTTAATAAAGTTGGTAATTAGTGCATTTTTTCAGGTAGGCACCATGGAGAAGCCTCTATCCCACCCAATATACTTCACCCAATTCTTCAGTAATGAATTTTCTGATTATTTCAAGTTTCTTGCTAAAGGTGGCTCAGAGCCTGAAAGTTCACCTCTCCCTTCCAACAGTCTGGCTTCTTGATCTTTAATATTCTTCTCTTTTACTCTTACATTTTTCCTTTAGACTGCTTCAGCTTCAAGAGCAGATGCGTGCCCTCTACAAGGCCATCAGTGTACCCCGTGTCCGAAGGGCTAGTTCCAAAGGTGGTGGCTACAGCTCTCAGAGTGCTTCAGGTTGGGATGAATACACTAGGCGGGTCACCAGTGAATGTCTGAACTGGATGAGACAGCAGAAGGTAAACTTGAGTGAATATCAGAAAGGGTTGTAGGAACGTCTGGATGCATTATAGCTTGCTTTTCACAGTGTGTGTGTGAGGAGCAAATTAAAATTCGTTGTTCATTCCTTCACTCCTGCCAATCCTCTACCGTCTCTCTAGGCAAGATATAGAAGTAGCTGGATATGGAATCTCTAGTCAAGGACAACCAGGGGATGAGGGGAGGATGTAGACAAGGTAGGTGATACAAAGAAAGGAAGTTAGTGTGTATGTTGAGAAGCTGCAGAGGAGGAGGGGCGGCTTCTGATAAGAGAGGAACTAAAGAAACTCTTCTGGAATGATTAGAAAACAGTGGTAGAAGTAAAGAATCCAAAAAGGTGCAAAGAAAAGGAGACTTAGATGTTAGTTCATAGTGATTTTCTAAAAGATGCTATGATCATTGCTTGGGAACTGCTTCGCCCACCCAAGCTAGAGATCTGCTGAAAGAAAATGTCAGGTTGAATAAAGCTTATGTGATGATTTTGAAATCTGAATAGACTGTACTGGAGAGGTGGTAGTAAAATAGTGACAAAATTATTTGTTTTTGTTGTTGCTGCTTTGTTAGATTCTGTAAATTCAGCCCTATGGTTCTGATCTAATTACATTTCTGCTGAACTTGGGGTCTTCTACAGTAATATAATGGCTGGAGATAAGGAAATAGGTGTTCCTACCCTAGTCTAAAGTATCTTCAATGAAAGGATGCTTGCATTAATCCATCTTTATAAAACTCTATTATCTCTTGTTCTTATATTTTTATAAAGATACTCTTGGTGAAGGAAAAAAAAACAGTTTCAACTTAGTGTATGTGAGGATTTTCATTTGGCATTTAATGAGGGAGGAAAATGTTAATTTGATACATGAGAAAGAAATCCTCCTCCTCCTCCTCTACAAATTTTAAGAAAAACTGGGACAATGTTTTTACTTGTAGTATTTCAAATTTTGGAGCGAAAGGAGATTAAGCCCCTTTATCTAGTGTTTGGAAGCTTGTTATAAATAGGCAGTTTGAGCCAGTTGGTTGCAGCTTCTTTATCTTATCTTGAGCTGACCTTCTCTGGCTTTGTATTCTGTCTGCAAAGCTCGGGCTCCCATGGGCCAAAGTAATGCCTTCTCTTGTAATGCGATACATGGGAAATTCTTCCCAGGAGCTTCAGCTTGCTTGCCAGTGTTTAGTTTTATTTTGCAGTTGGTTTGCAGATGGAGACCTTTGAGCTAAGCACCTGGATCAGGTTTTTCTGGAAGGAATGGAAGCTGGAACAGAGCCACCCTTTTGTACCTCTGCACGTTTTAACTTGCTGCTGGTATGGCTAAAACGAAGCTGAAAAGGAGGTGAAAGTCCTGTGTAACTTTCAGAGGGCTAACAGCCTAAATTGGCATTGCTTGTTGGAGCTGTTCCCACATGAGTTAAGCTCAGGTGTGGCTCAAGAGGGTGAATATTGTAGCATTATGTCATACAGATTTTTTTAAAACATAAAAGTTATTGTATCACTCTAGAACAGCATCTCCCAGATGCCCTCCAGATGCAATTTGTGAAAAAAAAAATCACTTTTTTTTTTTTATGTTTGCATATCTTTGCCATGTTATCAAAACTTCCTGTGGTCATAGTGATATATTAAAAGAGTCTGGCAATGGCACCAACGTTTGGTGTTTTGTTTCATTTGTTTAATAAATAAAATAATCAAATGTGTGATATGCCAATAGAAGAAAGTTATCATCCCCTACTTCCATAATTTCAAATAAGGGATAACTAGGGTGTGAGTACCCTATTAAACAAACAGGGTTGATTTGGGTCAGCCCTGCCCTAAAAAATCTCTCAGGCTTTGGCTCCCCTTATCACAGATATTTTCTAGAGGCACATAATGCCCTGCTCAAAAGAAATGTCAGAATACCTCTGTAAAAAAATGAATTGATGTCTATCAGTGTAGAAAAACTTATAAAACAGTTTTTAAAGCTTTGGGGCACCACAGATCTACAGTCAGGGACATAGTCTTGAAATGGAGAAAATTAGGGCAGTAGCGAATCTTTTCAAGGTTAGCTGTTCCTTCAGATCAAGAGCACAGCATAAAATCATCCAGGGAGTCACCCCCCCCCAAAAAATCCAAGAATCTGCAGACATCTCTTACCTTTGCTAAAGCCAGTGTTAATGATTCTGCTATCAGAAAGCCTCTCACTAATAAAATGATAATCGTGAGAGTGTGGCAAGGCAGAAGCCATTGCTCACTAAGAAGAGCATTGGTGCCCATCTCAAACTTGACAAAGAACACCTGGAAGACCCTTCAAACTTCAGACCAATGTCTTGTGGGCAGATGGGACAAGTGGAACTTTTAGGGCTATATGAGTGTATGGCAGAAGCCACTGCATTCCAAAATAACTGTCAAGCCTGAGCTGATAGTGCCATGGTTTGGGAATGCTTTGTGGCCATAGGACTTGCACGATCTGCTGTCATTCTGCTTTTATCAGAGACTTCTGTAGATTATTGGGACATCTGTCTGTCAGCTGAAGTTGAAGTGTGAGTCATGCAGCAAGATAATGAGCCCAAACATACAAGCAATTCTGTAAGAGAATGGATGAAAAACAAATTCAATATTTTGGAATGGCTGAATCAAAATCTAACCTATACTGCCTAAAAATATGAAAGAATCTGAAGATCTGAAAAAAGCAATTAATACTATAGAACCCTCTAAATATTAGTGCAGCAAACTGAAACAGTTTGCCATGGAGGAATGGGCCAAAATTCTCACAGCAATGTGAAACACTGGGTATAAGTGATAGGAATTGTTTGATTGCAATTACTGCAGCTAAAGGTGATACAACTAGTTATTGAGTCTAAGGGGGATTATTTTTTCACACTGATACATTGTATGTTGGATTATTTTGTTTATAAAATAAGGAATCCCCAAACTCTGGTGTTATTTGTTCAGCCACACTCACTTTATATATGAGTAGGATCCTCATGAAATTCTGATAACATTTGGCAGCAAAGTTATGCAAACATTCAAAAATGCAAAGGGGTAAATATTTGTTTTCACAGAACTGCATTTTTTGTTCTTGGGAACAAGGTCAAAATAACTGATGACTGGGGATTATTCTCAAACTAGTTCAGATCTTTGATTTGTTGGATGGCATTGGAGACGGAAGCATCTGTTCAATTCCTGTTCAATGACTGAACCTGAAGGGTGAAAGGGTAGAGGTCTCAAATCACCTTACTCAGAAGCCCTCCGAGTTCTCATACACTGCCCTCTGATTAGGGGTAGTAGCGAGATAGTTCCTGCTGCCACTTCTTGTCTTCTAAGGGCACCTTACCTGGCTTCACCCAGGTGAATGAAAGAGATAAGGCTCTTGCATTCTGTGCTGCCTATCTGGCGATTAAAAGGTTAACAAATATAGTTCCTATAATGTAACTTCCTGGCTATATAACTTGGAGGCATGTGGCTAGAGGATTTCTATATATATGTGTATATATATATATAAAAATATCTATAAATGTATTTCTATAAATTATATATCTACACACACACACACACACAAACACAGTGAATCTTGATCATGCAAGTATCCACAGAAGCAAGTTTTCTGAAGCAAAATAATTCTCTGCTTCCCTTCCTGGATTTCCCCTTTTAGTGAAAATTCCAGACTTTAATCTGAGGCTTCAGGCAGATCTTTGTCCTGTGCTTTTCCCAACTTCTTTTGTTCCCTCCTTCGGTCTTGCATCTGTTCTTAAAAGGAATAAAACTTTCCATTTCTAGTTGGGCGGGAGTGGAATATCTCTCGGTGAGTATATGACAGAACACCTCTCCCTTGCAAAGATGTGGATTCTAAGTCTGCAGTCAGCACAAGGAGATGTTTATTGGGAATGTACTGAGTTCTGCCAGCTGGCAAGAACTATACTTCCAAAAAATTGCCATATGCAAGAGTTGGCATAAAAAGGAATGAGATTGTAATATACTTACACATTACCAGCAATGAAGTATTGGCTGAGCAGCTTAACAAATGGGGTAAAAAGAAATTATGCTACCAAGAAATAGATAAGTGTTTATAGAATAAGCAAGCATCTGAAACTGAATATCCTTACTTTAGTAATATAACAGTGCTTATATCATGTTGTTGCAAGGAAACAAGGTATGATCTAGGTCTGTCTACTCTGTTATTGTACCCAAGTAGCATTGTCAGGTTAAATTCTCTCCTGCTCTGTGAAACAAAAGAGGCTGTGGAGAAAGCTTGAAGTCCTGTGAGTTTACACCACTTTACTTTTAAAGAGCAAATTGTAACTAGCAACTCTGCTTGCCAAGCACAGTCAGCAGGAAGTTAGGGAACCAAATTCAATTTGGAAAGCAATTTGGATTTATTTATTTTTTTTTGGTGCATTATGAATAAGCTACAAATGACGACACCCATTCTTTCTTTCTTTTCTTTGTCCCTCAGACTGACATGGAGTTAGTAAAATGGGGATTTGACGCTGCAGCTGTTGAACAACAAATCGCTGAGCATAGAAGATTCCATAATTCTATTGGAGACTATCGCTGGCACTTGGATAAAGTGAAAACTGATCTGGTAGGAGATTCTACTTCTGGTATCCTACCAACTTATACCCACCATTCTGTGCTCTTTTCTTCCTGATTCCATTCCCTACTAGATTCTCACTGCCTTGATGGGTAAATTGAATGACCATGTCAATAGTGTTCTAACAAAGACCTTTGTTGGATTTACAGATGACCATCGGATATGTTGGCTGTGACTAAAAAGACTTGTGGTATAATCATGTCTGGATAGCCACAGTTTTCCAATCCTTGTTCTGACATGGCCTCCTTTGTGTCTTGTGTTTAGCTTTTAATTGCCAGTACCCATGTGTCTCTCCTTGCAGAACTGTGTTCTTTCTTTTCTCATATGGTAAAAAGAGTGTCCCCAAATACTACTGCCCCAGATTATCCTGACTTTAAGACAGGTAGTGGAGATCCCCTGTCTTTATCTGTTTTTTCTCTTGTTGGACACATGCTTTCTTTATTCTTTACTTACAGCGTGAGAAAGCTGCTGTACACCAACTGGAGGAAGAATATGAATATCTGTTGGTAAGCTATTTTTTGTTTTATTTTTTCATTTTTAAAAGTCTTATAATACATGTTTTGCCTGCTTGGTAAGTTAAATAGCATCAGGCTTTCATTTAGATATTTTTATTTTATTTTATTAATCAAATTTATACGCCACCCATCTCATTATATGAGTGACTCTCGACGGCTGTATAGCTGTATTCTATTTAAGTAGGATGGAAAATTCATAGATTGTCTTAAGTCATGTGATGTGTGATTCCAAATTCAGGACATAATTTGATTTCCACAGAAATACTGGAGTTGAATGGAAATATAATGATAGATATATTTTTTTCCTCCTCTGCAACCTGGCGATGGGAACGACAACATCTGCTGAAAATATCCTATTTATCCTCTTTTGGGAAGAAGAGCTGTATACAAACAAAAATAACAATTGCTCTTTCCCATCAGCAACAATCTAAAATGTTTTTAGTGATTTGCTCTGATTCATTGTTTGCTACCTTTTGCCCTCCGAAGTGGTAGTATAGCAAACATAATGCTAGAGTAAGACCGGGAAAACTTGTATTCCTGTGCCCATAATTTATATTTCTTAGCTAAAGCTAATCTTCCATGGATATTGTGAGAAAAAATGGAGGAGGGCAACATTTATATGACCTTGTGCTTCTTAGAGAAAAGCAGAAAGCAAATGTAATAAGTAAATGCATTTCATGGTAGACTGTAACCTTTTTTAACAGAAAACTGCCCTTTGTTAGAGCTTTCAAGTGCCAGAAAAGTTTGTTAAAAGCTTTTTCTTAAAAAAAAGAATTAAAAAAAATGGTAGTCCTTAACAGCTCTAGTCTGTCAGCCAGTCAGTCATTTGTTTGTTTTTTGATTATTGACCAGCAAACAAATCTTTCGGGGGAAAAAAAGGAATTGCATTTAACTCACTGCAGCAGAACTCTAAATTATGTCTGAAGTCTGGTAGCAATACTTGTTGAAATTTCTGCATGGCAACTTGTCCTGTCTTGCAGAGATGGTACAGAATTTTGATTTCCTTTTGAAGTGCAGAAAATTCAGTCTGAATGTGGCCAGGGCATATTAAGCATCTTGGCTGTTTGCTTTTCAGTGTGTGATATCTACATGACCCCCTCATACCAAATTTTCTGTTTTACAGCTTGTACTCTTATGCTTTGACCATTCAGTGAAAACATTTATTGCTTTCTTCACACTGTTTTGTAGAGGTTCTCCTTTGAAAGAATGGATCAACTGCGCCAGTTGCAGAACATCATCCAAGCCACTAGCAGGGAAATCATGTGGATCAATGACTGTGAGGAGGAAGAGCTTCTCTATGATTGGAGTGACAGGAACACTGATATTGCAAGGAAACAGGAAGCCTTCTCTGTGAGTTAATGATATTAACAAATCTCATCTGAGAACTCATGGTTTGGTCATTTTTTTTTAAAGATTGCAAACAATTTTGTATTTTAAAATGCTGAATGTAAAAGCTGGGATTAGTAGAAGTTTCAAATTCTGCAATAGTTAGAAAAGTTTCACTGGTTTCAAGATAGAAAACTGCTTCAGCCATTCTGAGAGTTTGCAAGAAGAGAAGTGTGATGATTTATGCTTCCTCTTTACTCAGGATAATATGTTCTTTCTAACATTGGGGAACTTCAAAGCTTTCATTGGGAGATATGCTTCTCTTTCTTTTGGGAAAGACAAACAAGTTTAGAGGAGGAAATTGCTGAGGTAGGAATCAGTGTAAATCCATTCAACTTTATTGTCCATGTTAGCATGGTGATCTTGTTGAGGTTTTAAAATAGATTTTAAATTAAAAAAAAAACTATTTTAGATTTTTTTTGGTTTTCATTTGGAACTTCCCCTCTAAGGTTAGGAGAGACTGACCACAGGCATTCAGTCTCAAGATAGAAGGGAACACCACAGTGAAATAAAAAGAAAGTCAAGTGAAAGAAATGGAAGAAATTAACCTGGGAGAGGAGAGAGGAATGGGCACCCAAACATAGGTTTGGAGACAGATAGGATGCAACTTATAGTTGAATGAACTTCATGATTGATAGGTGAGTGATATGGGTGATATTTTGAGTGCTTACTTCAACAAAACTGTCCCTATGGTCATAAAGCACAAATTGTATCTGCTGGGTTTGCAAACAAACAGATCTTAATGCAAATATATAAAGCGATAAATACTAAATGTGGTGGTCCTTTTTTTCCTATTGAAACTGAGTTTAAATCCATGTCCTTGTCTATTTTCAGAAACGCATGAGCCAGCTGGAAGTTAAAGAAAAGGAACTCAACAAACTTAAGCAAGAATGTGACCAGTTGGTACTCAGCCAGCACCCTGCTTCTGACAAAATTGAGGTATCTTTTCAACTTCCTACATTTTTGTCCTGATATTATTTCTGGAACAATATAACATTTCATTGAAGTGAAAACTAGTAATGAAGTTCTGAACCTGGAACTGTACTATCAGACAACCTGATCAACAAGTAATCTTGAAAATATGCAGAGTTATATGCAAACATGAGGGGCCCAGTGCTAGTATTGAAAAGCACAGTTTAGTATTGGCTGCTCTAATAAAATTAATAACCCACTAAATCATGGTCAAGAGGAATGCTTTAATGCTGGGCCACTTTGTATTTGTAGAGGAGGGTTACATTCTCCGCTTAATGGCCAACTAAAAAACCTGAGACCAACATAAGAATGCTAAGGAGAGAGAGGTTTTCTCTTGCTTGTGCATCCTGGTCTTCATTACCTTTCCTCAGTGGGTTTTCTGTAAGCAAAGTAGGAGAGAAGGACAAGTTAGATTTTATTAGTAGGCAAAACAGAAGTTTGGCCATTGACATAGGTTTGGTTTTTGTCTCTTGGATTCTCCAGGCTTCAGTAGATAGTTTTAGAGATTTAAAAAATGAGTTGTTACCTGAAAAATAGATCAGATTACATTATCAGAATCAATGTGTTTGAATGTATAGGCCTATATGGATACCCTGCAAACTCAGTGGAGTTGGATTCTTCAGATCACCAAGTGCATTGATGTTCATCTCAAGGAAAATGCAGCATACTTTCAGGTATATATTGATGTATAGAAGCAATAACTAATACAGTTGTATACCAAATAGTTTTTATCATTTAACCCTACATTTACTCTGTATAGTTGGAAAAAATCCAGATAGATTAGATTCCAGCCAATAATTGTGTATGCCTACTGTTTTAAAATAAGGATTCTTAATTTTGCTTGCAGTAATGATGACTTGTGAAATAAAGAATCTAAAGTTCTTTTTCTTGGACTCTCCTTCCCCTTTTTTAGAAATGCTTTTAAACTGATGTTTTATGTATTATATATATTTATGTTTTTAATGTTCGGTGTGAGTCGCCCAGAGTTCCCCCATTGGGGGG